AACTTCCCTCGGTAACAGAGCGTACCTTGATCTCATTAATATGTTAGATGAATGGTATCTCTTCGAGGTCCCAGAAAATAACAGAGCTGCGTTAACCGGCGATTTGTTAGTGATTAAATTTGAAGTTGGCTTTATATTCCATGAAGACCTAAAATTGCCCTGTTCACTCGTTTCTTTTCAGTTCAGCCAGTGGTAAAACCACAGTAGCAGAGAAGATCATTGAAAAGCTGGAGATACCGTGGGTGACAATCTTGAGTATGGATAGCTTTTATAAGGTAGAATATAGTTTAGAGATCCCGTTAACAGATTATCCAAGATTTCTTCCATAGGTACTGAACGAGAAAGAGCACGCTCTTGCAGAAGAATCAAATTACAATTTTGACCATCCCAATGCCTTCGATTTCGATCTGCTGTTTGAGGTTTTTTTTGGGTTTTGCAAGTTTCTTCTCTGCATTCTACTTTATACTCAATTTGCTTTTTCTAGGTTTTAACTCGGCTCCGCGAAGGAAAGAGTTGTGAGGTACCAGTGTACGATTTCACCACTCATTCTCGGGACAATAATCCAAAGGTTGGAATTCAAAAAGTCGGTGGTTCGGCTTGGGATTAGCATTTTGCATTTTCGATATTTCCCGTCCGTTTTCCGTTTATGGTAACTAACAGGCCTCACTTTAGAGAGAACCATAAACTCTTGTCAAGTTGGCTGACTAGAATAGAGTGAACCACCTTGGTTACAAGAATTTGCAGGTTTCAGAAGACGGCTTGTAAAGATTTAGCTTAGCACCACTCGTGCCCCCACCAAGCCAAACTGCACCTTGATGTTTTGAAAAGGACTATTTTGTTAATTCTCACCAAACATTATTTAGGTGATGTACGGCGCAGATGTCTTGATTTTCGAAGGAATCCTCGCTTTCCATCGTCCAGAAATAACCGCCATGATGGATATGAAGGTTTTACTTTCAGCGGATGTTACGGTAATTCTGTTCGAAAAGTAGTCGTATTCAAGGTATTTGTGGACACGGATGGTGACGTGCGCTTAGCTCGACGACTAAATCGTGATATCAACGAGCGAGGTCGTGACACCGTTGGTGTGCTTGATCAGTATTTTAGATTTGTTAAGGTACCTCTTGTAGTACTTATCCCTTGGTCAAGTCAACGTTTAATTCTCCAGTAGTGAACGGCGCCT